TCGCGCCAACGAATCAGTAAACGAAGGGTTAAGAGGGAACGGCGAATGGTTCGATTTTTGCAGTACCTGGCGTCCGATCGAAGCTGGGCGATAGTTGATAGGCAACCGGCAGTAACAGTGGCGGGTGAATCCTCTCCAACAGAGGCTCACATCGTGGCCACCCTGCCGTACGCCCGTCACGCCTTCTTACCCTCAGCTCCCAATATCCCCAAATCTGCCACCGCCACTTGGGGCCACCTTAACAAAAACCTCATGTGGAAGGTAACTAACTCACCGCAGCTAACGCTCGCACACTCGCTCGCTCGTGTCGTGTTGCCTCGAACGAGAACACTATCCTTTCTCTGTCTCACTGTTCATTTTTGTTTTTCTATTCGATGCATGGTGTGCCGTTTTTTCTGTCTCTCTGTTTCCGTTCTCACTGTACGTTCCACACGAAAGCACCTAGAAAACACACTTTTGCACACTTAGAGAAAACACCTGTTCGACGGGACGCGGTCCAGTCGCAGAAGCATGGAGGTGTGGGGAAAAATATCCCCGACGAGATTTCATACAATCGTAGCATTTTTAATCGCGGTGTTTTGTTTTCCGAGCGATGAGATACAACAGAACGGGTTTCGGACCTGTTTGGACGCGTAGATCTGTGTGTGTTTTATTTTACGTTTAGTAGAAGAGGAATGGGATTATGAAGTGTCGATGATCATAGCCTATGTACATATCATACAGCACGTACGGAATTTTCTCACTCGTTCCTTCCACCCGTGCATGCGAGCTCGTGGGTTTTGTGATACGTTCTCGAGCTACCCGAGCATCATCCTCGACTCTCGCGCAACTCCCCCATTCCTCGTCCTTTCCGCCAAAGCCGTGATAGCTGAACGAATCTGTCTTTTCCGCAGAACATTTCTTTTAAATCGTACTCCCGCGACTCCGGGCACGGTGGCTCCGAGCAAGAGGACTCGCCGAGGACGCACAACACCTTGACGTTGGGCCACTCGGGACGTAATCGTAGCGCACGGGTCATGAACGAGACCAACGAGATCAGCGGCACGAGGACCACTGGCGGCGGGATTGGCAGACGACCGCCGATACCCTACAACAACACCTACACGGAGATCATCGACGGCCGTGCGAACGGTCCCGGTCATCACCAGCTGCACGGTCATCACGGCCAGCACGTGCACCTTCCGCGTGGGCTGGCGAACGAGGACGATCCGGTTTACGAGGAGATCGAGCGCGGTGGCAACGGCGGTGGCGAGATTCAGGTGTCCGACATGTCGGATGAGGACGGCAGGAGGCAGAGCGACATGAGCAGACAGTCCTCGAGGAGTTACGGGGATCACAGGCCGCTGATACCGTACTCGCCCGCCACGGATAGGAACCTGGTGCACTATGGACAGACCCTGACGGACCGTGGCGGCGGGATCCACTACGACCCGTCGGAGTACAGCCCCGCGGAGCGGACCCTGAACGCTTGCTGGGAGAAGATTCGCAAACAGCAGCGCGGCGAGCTACACCGTGTGCCCGCGAGCTACGGCATACCGCCCCAGCAGGATCACACGCGAACGGTGGCGGTCCTGGACGGCCACACCGTCGTCTGTCACCTCCAACCCCAGACGGACATGTACACCGGCCGTGGAATGCCACCACCTTCCTACAGCGAGTGTTAAGGCGTGTGTTCACGTGACATTAAAGTCGTGGCGTTTTGAAGTAACGACCGGTGCGATTCGCTGATGTTTGACACGCAGTTATCCGTGTCACGGCATTTGTCGCCGCGAACATTGGCTCGAAGTGATGTGTGATTTCGACCGGTACGTTTAGAGGGAATCATTTTTTGCCGTGGACAGTGAGACGTGCGTAGATCCCGTGGAAACGTTTTGAGACGAGGAGTCTTTTTTATTTAATTGTTCTTCCATGCTCTGATCTTTTGGAGATGTGCGACGCGTCGCGGGTATACTATACTTGTATACTATTCGACGGGGAAGGGTAATATAGCTCTGTTGGGACTCGAAGAGTTTGACTATCAGGAGTAGGATCGGAAGATTCGCCACCGGGGACAAATGTCGCGACATTGTCGTGGCTCGATGTCACGTGAACACGCAGCTTTAGGACGCGTCACCCGCGGCAGGAACCCGTCGTCTTCGTCTTCCCGCGCGAGGACGAACGCGGACACGCTCCTTGCCGTCGTCGACGTCGATCGAGGAGTCCACGAACCCCGAGAGTGGTTCGTTCGCCACGAGTGGGCCCGCGATATGTGGGAGCAGCTCTCGGTCACCGAGGATTTGGGAGACGTCCAACGTTTCCAGCCATAACGATCAAAAGCCCAGGCAACCTCTCCTTCGTTTCTGTTTTCTTCGCGAGGCCGCGGAGAACTCGACTACGACGGATGCGTGTCCCGTCTCGAGTGCGTCGATCGCCCGTTGATTCAATTCTCTATCGATAGAACTAAATAGCGGACCTCTTGTTTAGAGTAAGTCGTCGTTGTACCGTCGAAGCTCACCAAGGTGAACGATAAAACGTGACGAGTCCTCTTGGGCCACCGAGATCCGACGGAGAAGACGCCGCTGGGGACGGCAACGAGGGACACGCAGTGGTGGCTAGCTAATTGGGATGCGTGGTTTTAAGAAACGGATGTGACTTATGTTTCGTGGGATTGATTTTTCGCATAGACAGAGTGTGTTGAAATATAGACAGCCTTATCAATATTCGTATCCTCTACGTCTTTTAAAGAAGCTTGTCTAAATTAAATAATAGGTTTGATATTTTTAAATAAATGTTTCGTTATAAATATACATGGATAAACTTTACACTTGTATATAATGAAAACTTTATTTGGAAACATCAAACCTATCATTTAATTTAGACAAATTCCTTCAATAAACACAGAGGGTACGAATATTTATGGGACTGACTGTAGATGAACATTCTACTTAGTGTTGCATAATATGAATTGCAAACATTTAAATTTAATATTTTACACTAAACCTACCACAGAAGATCAAAGGACCGTTTTCAGAATTTTTTGTGGTTTCTTGTATAAAATATATAAATTATACTCAATTGTTTCATGTTTCATTCATTTCATATATTATTCAATTTAGTAACACGTGAAATATCTTTGTATTGAATCGAAAAGGGTGTCTTTAAGACGCGTCATTTAATCGATCGAGATAGAAATAGGTACCAATAAAATGGTAGGTTTAGCGTCAACTTTGTTGTCTTTCATCACAGACCAAACCAAATCTTCATAATACAGATTAATATAGAGATATTATTATTAATACTATGTCCTTCTGACGAGTAACTTGAACCCATGAATGACGTATCGAGTCAATTAACCTCGAGCACGCTTCTAGACTTTTTACATAGGATCCATCGGAATTGAAATCCCTACTGCGTTTATATACTCACCTTGTAAGTTAAACATGCGAAAAATCCAACGTACGAAATGTCAGTAACGTTTGCTTTATGAACTACGAAACTTAAATAGCTAACCCCCACCGTTTCCACCGTGAGATCAGGAAAGGAAATTCTTGACGAAATGCACGTCCTTCCACCTGTTTCCTCGGAGCTAAACCTGGCGCGTGTCGCAGCGGAGGAATCCTCCTCGATCGTCGATGCCCGGCCGCCTTCGTTAACGAGAACCAGCGGTCGAAGGACCGTGGTTCAGGAATGAATCAGCAGACATATCGACATGGGGCTGGGGAAGATGGTTTCATCGACACGCGTAAGGGAAGTTCCCTCGTTAACGGGGCCGTGGCGATCGACGAGGCTCCGATCTTGATCCCCGATGGGAATCGGCGACGACACGATAAAGGGATCCGTAGCTTGCTTCTGCTTTTTAACTTCTCGCCACGACCGATCGTGACGGCGACAGCGTTAGTGACATATCGCAAGACTGCTGGCCTCGCAGTCTGGGGAAACGAAGACCGTGTAACGTTTACTTAATCGCAGTATCGCATTGTATTTAGTGGTCGCATCCGTAGATGGTTACTCTTTCGAGTCGAAAGTATCGCGACGCGAGTACTGAAAACGGCGACGATGTCGTCGCGTAACGCGGGATAGATCCTCGAGTTCCACGAAAATTGAAGAGAACGTGCCCATTCCGCGAGTCTCGATGGGCGATGGAAAAAGGATACGGGAGGTTTCCTCGATGGGAAGGAGAAAGGGAAACACGGAAAAACGCAGGGCAACGGCTAGAGTACCTTTATCGGTCGTCCCAGCCAGCTCTCCTCATTGTACATTGCTTTGGAACGTTACGTTTTAGTCCCAGAATGTTATTTTTATAAATAAATAAAAAAAATTATATATATATAAATGTATATGTATGTATACAGTAACGATATTATATATATATATACATATATATAAAAAAACGCGATGAGTGAAAAGTGTGTGCGGAAAGAGCTGTACGGAGCAGGTATATATATATATATATATGTATGTATGTATATCTATATATACATATATATTCATAGTGATACAAAGCGATTTTCCGAGCGACGTTGGAAAAAGCGAAGAAAACTTAGTCACTGTTTTTTACTATTTTTTAAAAAACAAAAAGGTATGTGTCGTAACCGCGTAATCTAATGTGTAACTAAGGGAACCCGCGCGCTATTTATTTTTTATCATCCGTGAGTGTTATCTAATGTATAATTAGCGATCGTGTTTTTTGGGGGGAACGACGATCGGGTGACAGACGCGGATCCCTGGATCGTTGCGTTCGGAATGGCGAAATTCTATGCTTGCAAGATGACCCTTCGTCGACGAGTGGAAGAACCGTACTCCGGGAATGGACACCGAGATATCGAGTAGCTCGGTGTTCCTCTCGGGCCGATGTGACTGGGGGAAAGATGTGTTGGGTTGATTAGGTTCCATGAGGAGAATCTGGGTCAAACCACAGACGTAACCACTTTTCGTACGATAATTTGCACCATTGTTTGTAGGTCTCAGCGATACTTCAGGGGTTGAGGCTATAGTAACGTAAGCTTTTTAAAATATTGACTCGCGTGGGTATATGCATTCTATCTATGCAAGTTCGTTAAAAGAAAAAGTTTCTCGAAATGGCTTGTACCACTATACGTCACCTCCTCGATTGTACAGTATATGGAGTTCGTCTTTTTTCTAAATAATTAGTACAACGTTGTGCTACTGTTTTAATGATAAGAGTTAAAAGCCATCGTTGCCAGTCACAAATTAAATACTAAGGTATAACGTTAATATCCTTTAATACCGAAGGGATAATTGTTTTTTTTTTTTTTTTTTTAAATAAATTATATAATATCATAAGGCATACGTGGTAGAGTAACAACTCAGGGCTTTAAAGATCTAGTCCTTAAAAGGAATCCCTCCAAGCCAGTCCTGAACTGCTTGTAGTCGAGGCTTGTCTTGGCGCTCTATATCTTCTTCAAAGTCACTCTATTCGTACCATCGACTGTACGATAAAACGTTAAGTCTGTGGGTCCTATGGATCGCGTATAGATCACAATGGTCCAAGATAACCGAAGGCACAAGTGCTTGCATCCGGACGCATGTGCGAACGTGCGCCAAGGTTCGAGCGCACGTGCTTTCGGCCTCCTCTGTCCTTCAACTCGATCTTTCACCAACCTCCCGAGCTATTTTCACTCCTGAGATCGTAGAAGGAGTTTAAGCGAATTCAACATAGTCTTTTCCTCGGTGCAACAGCGTTTACACATCGTTTTATTTATTTCTCCGCTCAGCCGAACCGGCCGTGATCTTTCTCTCCGGCAAATCGTACGTTAAGGCGACTAAGTCTATAGGCGAATTATAAAAGATAGCGATAATCAGCGTTAAGAGTACCACCTATATTTAGTGTACGAAAACGTTTCCTCCGATTATTGCGCGAAACGTAATTTTGCTCATTCTGGCACCGCGGGAAACCCGTTCGCGGTATCTTGGTTCCAATAGACCCTTCGCACAAGCGTAGCGAGAACAGAACAAGCATCCGGCGAGAGCCGTCTTTGTCCACGGTGTTAAGGTAGAAAGGGAGTATCGTTTACAAGTCACGAAAATTCTACCGTCTCGTTTCCGTATACGTAGCTACAGTACACGATCGTCGCGCACCGTCGCCACCTAAAAATCGCACGACGAGTTCAAAAAATCCTTTTCGCAACGTTTTTTTTCGTTATACTTTTACATTCCTTGTCGTACGAAGCGACTAGCTAGACAGTTTTTTGGGTCAATTAGAGCTACGCGCGAGAAAGACCGACGCGACAGACGGTATCGAGCCTGTAGAAGTAAATCGAGGATAAGTTGATTTACTCGTAGATTGCTCAGAAGTGAAATGAACACCAGAGATGGGCAAAGTTTGTTACGATGATAACAATGTATAGCGATTTATTGACGATGTTTATTTGCGACACCGTATGAGAATAAACGAATAAAGAACATTTTGGTCAATGTGGCCATTGACAGTAGAAATTGTTTATGCTGCGTTCTTCGAATCGAAACACTTACGAATATCGGAGATGGTTTGCCTATTGGATGAAGCGGCATTGATTGTAACACGGTTCCGTTCTCTCGATACGATATGTAATGTCAAATTCTGACTTTATTTCACCCAATAACGAATAAAATGTTATTCTTTTTTTTTAAATTCTTCATTTTAGATTATTATTTAGATAGAAATTCTGCCTATCTCTGGTGGACACCTCGATACCCAGAATCCTCGTACGTCGCCCACGAGTCTAAGAAACGATCGCAAAACGCCACGTTGCGCGACGACGATCTCTTTTTAACTATTTAAGGTTTCGATTGTTCGACACGCGCTCGAGTGAACGCCAATCACTGGGCGCAAGTTTCAGCGACCAGTTTCTATAATTTTTGTTGCCAGCGCCGGATCAGGAGTGTGTAAACCCCTGGGCTACTAAAACTGCGAACGTAATTTCGATTACGCTCTTCGACAAATATAATTCTTACATAAAATGAAAGAAATAGTTTAAAAATGTTCTAATACCGTCAATTTCATTATAAGTCAAATTAAAACAATTTCCTGCAAAGTAGCCCAAGAGGGTTAATATCTAGGGGTCCCTCCAGCTGTGAAGGCTGCTAGGCCCTGATTTTTTGCGAAAGGTCTTGCCCACCAAAACGACTACTGCCAGATAGAATCGTAAACGCAGCCACATTCCATCCGTTCGACTTATCGTAATCGAAAGAGACAAAAGGGGACGAAAGGTGTACGAGTCAAGTAGACGGGGACAAACCTCGAGCGCACTGTGCCTGGCGACTAGGGGAGGGGCCACCGATTTACGATTTGCTGCGTGTCGTCGTCGTCGTGGTACGTTTTGTTTTCCCAAATTTCGTTCGAATCGATAACCGGCGCAACCGGCGGGCCACTGAAGAAAATGGAAAAAGAAAAGAGAGAAAACGGAGGACACACACTGTAACGTCACGCCTCTCCGAAGATTTGTCGCGTGTGAAGCGGGGTTAGAGAGCGTTTATCGTCGGGAAACACTCGAAGCAAGGTGTACATAATGTAAATAGGGCTTTGTACATGTTGAACACTTGTAATTGTAAATGGAAAAACGCGCGGCAAGAGAGATAAGAGTGGAAGAGAGCGCGCAAGAGCGAAAGGGTGAAAATAGAGAGAGAGAGAGAGAGAGAGAGAGAGAGAGAGAGAGAGAGAGAGAGTGTTACGTGTGCATGAGATGAGACGAGGTTAAGAGATTGGGGAGACGACCCCCAAACGATTAATGTGAACAGAAAGGAAAAATACACTAGATAAGACAAGTTACTAGTAAGTAGTGAATATTACAGTGACTATTAATCGTGATGGCGAATGCGTGAGGCGGTTAACTTAAGTCCCAAGCGTAATTAGTTAATGTGTACATAAATTAAGCGAGAAAGTAAAATATTAAATGAAAGCCCAAGTAATCATTGGATATTTATAACGACTCCACTAAAGAGACATTTAAGAGCACAAATAAATGGAAAGAGAAGAGTAGGTCTGAGAGAACATGGGGACACGCGAAACGAGAGAAAGAAACCACGAGACTCGAAAGAAACACTTGTATGTGCGTTTAGTATACCGTTCGCGAGAGTAACGTTTAGGGGAAACGATCGAGGAAGCGAATGTGAACATGCGAGAGGGTTGAAGCAATGAGAATAAGATGGAAATGTGCAACAATTAATCAGATGGACAGATATACAATGCATGTTTTATCCTTAGCCGTTTTATAAATATAAATATCCTTCTCTATCCCCTCTCCCCGCTCAATCCCTCATACATGCACACACATCCCGTCTTTTAATCACTCGCGACTTCTCCTACTTGAACGAAACAGGCGCGACGTTGATCTTCTCTCTGATCGAGTACACCTGTGCTGTCCATTCTCGAGATATGTTCCTTTCGATCGTACCTACCGTCTCTTCTCGCTACTTTTCGCCCCTCACCCCTGTTCATATCCTGCCTGCAGCCAACGTAAACGAGTCTCTGAACGAATCACGATCGTCATAAACTTCCATTCCCCGCGCAAACGAGAAGGCTTCGAAGCAGAGTCAGATTTGGGCAGTGATTATTTTGTGATCACTTCGTGATCGTTTGGGACACTTTATGGTGCTTTGTGATACATTATAATTATTTTACGTTGCTTTGTGGCCATTTTATAATTGATTTTATAACCTACCAATCGTTGATTGGTAATCTCTCAGAGCCAATCGATTATTCGTTGATCACAACCGTGAATTACATTTGCCCAACACTGGCCCGCAGAGTAGGTCAGAGGATGTCGAACCTATCACAGAGAGTCAATCCGCGAGAACAGAGACCCACACACACGTGTACACACAGACATCGGTCACTCCCGTCTCTCAACCCCCGCCAGAACCCACCCTCCAACCCTCGCCGCCCCCTCATCAACCTCTTGAAAGTGTCGGAATATTTTTCGAATCGGCTTTTTTCTAAACCGTTTTACCCAAAAGACGTGGGCAGCGGTCGAATCGCAGAATTTCGTACAAAATTTGCGCGCTAGAATTTCGTGGCAATTCTGTGATCTTGCCATTTATGTTCTTCGCAAGTGATACATTCGAAGGTAAAATCGAACGCCGAGACACGTTTTATCGGGTCGTGACGCGTGTTTTGTAAGTTTTATTCCGTGAATCCATCGCCTGCCTGCGTGCACGTTGACCGAGATAAAATAAAAAAAAAAGTAAAAACAAAAGTAAACGAAAAGAAGGGGAATACCCCGAAGAGCACAACAACGGTAGACGAAGAGGACGAAGATGTTAAAAACTCTGAACAAGAAGAATTGTAAAATCTAGGTATCTCCGATCTACTAAGAGCCTCCGTTTCTTCATTTTTGTATGCTTCTTTAAGACTGTCTGATACAGGAAAAAAAGGATAAATAAATGTGTACCAATCTCTGAATAAAATGTGACTCGTTTTTGTCTCTCTGAATCACTCTGCATTCTGAATCTCTGGATCAACCGAACTGTATCACTGCTCGAATGAGGTACGTACACGGAGACATTCCATGTATCGAAAATCGTGAACTCAGTTTTATTTCACAGCACCAAACTCTATCAAACATTGGATCGTGTCTGTGTGGTTGCTCCTGCGAGCTGCGACCAATGGCGTCACGTTGAACGACGCCTCTGCGTGAATATCGATTAAATTGTTATTTAAAATATACCGAACAGCATCAGTGTTTCCAGCTAAAGCAGCTACGTGTAATACAGTTTGGCCAACGTTGTCTGTCGCTTGTACATCAGCCCCTAATTCGATAATTCGTTCCGCTGCAGGTAGATGATCACCCTTTATTGCTTCGTGAACAGGAGTGTGTCCTGAAGAATCTCGCGCGTTCACTAAACATGGACGTATCGCTGCCAAGCGTTCGATTATCTTCTTGTGACCATGGAACGCTGAAACAGTTAGTAGTTACTAAGATAAATCATAGATGTATGTTTAAATGATAGAAAAGTACTCCAAATATTAATACCAGCAATGTGCATGACGCTTCGGCCGTTATTACTTCGATCGTCGATTCGTGAAATGCATTCACTCGACGATTTTAGTAATAAATCGAGGGCATTCGGATCTCCAGCGCGACAAACGATGTGCAACGATGTCCAACCATCCTTATTTTGAATGAAAGGGTTGGCTTCCGCTTGTAAGAGAGTAGCGATGCATTCGCAAGCCTCACTTCCGGTTTTGGTGCACGCCAACATAAGGGGAGTCCAATCGGCGCGCCTTAGAGCATTTACATCTGCACCTTTGAATGGAATTTAGATTCGTTAATACATATTACGCAATTAATTAACGTACTCATTTCTATTTCAACACTTTTCAACAGGGTAAATTGGAATAAAAAGATATTCTAGTTGATCTATTAGGTTGTCCCAAAAGTTTATTTCGCTTTATTAATAAGTAATACATGCACAATAGTTTATGTTTTATGTTACATTACTGAATTGTACACGATTCATTTTGCTCCGTTATTGTTACAACATGAATATCTATGAAACTAGATTGTCTATTTATATATAAACATGACCACATAAAATAATTGAGTGCAATTCGCGAAAGAAATTTTCGGGACAACCTAATATGTAAATAATTGGTAAGACATAATGTAAAGACTGATTCTCCACTGTAAAACAACCCATATATTCATAAATTATGTAGTTATACGTCGACGTCGAAAGATGTTTCGGTTCTAAATAAGCACCTTTCTCGATCAAGTACTTTACGACGTCGCTGCGAGCAAATTGCGCGGCGTCGTGTAGCGGCCGTTTCATATCTTTATTGGCGACGTCCACTCTGAAATCCGGTTTGTCGAAAGCCTCACATAAATATCGTACGACGTTCAAATGACCCTCTCGCGCGGCAACGTGCAGCGCAGTGTCACCGGAAGTTGAGTGTTGGAAGAGCGTCCAATCTTGGAGATCGCGTTCCGACGTTAGAGTTTCCACTCTTGATAAGTCCCCGCTTTGACACGCGTGCATAAATTTCCGTGATAAATTAGGATCCACCGACATACTTAATTGTTAGTTGCAGAAAAGAGTTAGATGCACATTGAGAGGAGCAAGAAAACGATGTACTTTTGAAAAATTATATAGAACGGTGAAGTATGTGACACACGTAACGTTTACGTACACGAACAACCATTGATTGGTTGATTTTAGAGGAAAGATACTATATAGAGGAATATTGGATGCATTCAGGAAGACCACAGCCCATCAACACTCATCCACAACGCGAAAAAGGCTTGGTCAGCTATTTCCCAACATTCTTTCGTAAAGAGTTAAGGGTTTGTAGTGAAAATAGTTCTCACAGTTTCTATAAGATATCGGCACTGACATCTTTTAGTTAATTATTCTTTATTTTTCAAAAATTTACTAGTTAATACGATCCTTTGCTTTATAACATTATAATATATAATATATCAGTTAATATGCCTACTCTGCTTAGTGGCGCCATCGGTGGCAAAACGTCCAAGTTTGTAATGAAAATAGTTTCCACCCTTTTCTCTAAGATGGCACCATCGATACGTTTGAAAAAATTATTCTTTATTTCACATTAATACAAAGTTAATACGATTTTTTGCTTTATAACACTACATATATCATTTTAATATATTATTATGCATTCATTTACTTTTATATATTTAAATACAGTATTAATTACCGACCTTTAAGTTAGTGACACCATCTAGTAGCAATAATAGGAACTTGTTTCACTACAAACTTGAGCGCTTTCCCACCGATGGCGCCACTAGTACTAAAAACTGCATTGTATTTGTATTAAATAAAATATTTTAAAAAGTAATATATTTGGTATAATCGTCTCTTACGGACGAATGTTTGCGAATAGACGCTCAACCCTTAGTATAGTTAAATTATAAATTTAAAGAAAAGATTAATATTTAAACTGATAGTAAATCGTCGATGCAAGGAAGTAAACTATTGTAATCATCCTCATAAAAGTCGAATATTATAGTGAAAAGATCGGTAGTTATCGCGTTTTATCAAATTAATTAAAAATACGCGGATCTAGGCGGGAAATAAACGAAACTAAAATCGTCATTGAACTCGAACGATCCAAATAACTCAGAAAAAAAGATTTCACTGTACAGATACACGCTTCGCTTACACTTTATTAATTCATTTGCAATACATTAATTAAGTCTGTTTAAATAGCATCGAGGCTACCTAACGTATGCCTTCGTTTATACTATAGACAATCATCTAGCTTAAACACACACTCTCTCTCTCTCTCTCTGTCTCTCTTTCGATACCCTTTCTGTCTCACGCACTCACTCTAACTCTCTCTCTCTCTCTTTCTCTCTCTCTCGTTCTATCGTTTTTCTCGTACGCCCTTTTTCTCATTTGCGCATTTTTTCCGTTTCTCTTTAATCTGTTCCATTATCGATATCATTTATCGTTATTGTTTATTACCATTGTCATTATCATTATACCATATAATATATCATAAGATCGACGTTAAAAACTAAAATTCGTATAAAAAGCGTCGTTATTCATACTAACAATGTAACTGTACTATTTAAATAATAATTGAATCTTAAAAAATTATTTGTTCTTGTTGTTCTTGTTGGGTGGCTGGGTGGGAAGGGGGGGGGATGTGTGTGTGTTTGAATGTATGAGATGTCTAATGCATCGGCTATAATACGAGGGTGCAAGGCGTGCATTAAGTGTGTCGTTACACCATTATCCTCACGCGTACATACTCGTCCCTAAGACGTACACGATCCTGAAGAACGTTCGGTAAGATCGCGAAATGCCCCGATACTGCGCTCTCGAAAAATCAAACAAGAACATTTATTATTACACCAGCTTCTCGTCATTCGTCGCTCCACCTAACGATCGTCTACGTATATAAAAGAAGTCGATCGTCGATTAGCAAATATTCAAACAAAGAATCAAATCATGTTTCTACTGCGTTTTAAAATGAAAAAGAAAATATATGATTCACCGTTGAACACGGGTCGATAAAACGCGCGTTTTACTCGTTACGATCTTACAGTGTTCGATCGTTCTTGGATCATGTCCGGACGCGACACGGTGCATCCGTTCCGCATGTTCAGCCGCACCCCGTACACATTATTTATAATTATCGTTTTATCTCGTAGTCGTTTTCACACGCCGCATTTCTCTTTTACAATCTAGCTAATACTTTTACAAACTACGAATGTTTAGCACAATCACTACGACCGAACCACTTCTCCCGTTTCTCTCCGCCTCCTCCTCCTTGAATAATCCTCGTTATTACGTAACCTATCTGCTATTACGAGCAATAATGTACATCAATTACATAAAAAAAACAAGAAATTACCGTGAACGTTTCTTGTCGATCGTTTATCATCGTCGCGCATCACGATGGTCACACTTACATACGTGAAAGATACACCCCGCTGATTATTGGAAATCCAAGGAATTACTATCGACGCCCAAACGTCCACGCGCCATCTTCTTGCGACGCCGCGGACGCGCGATATATAACGTTTCGTTTAAAAAGTGTGCCACCACGTCGTTTGTCACCTTGTGTGGGACGTCAGGTTTCGTCTAAGATCTAGTTCAAAATCGAACGTCGCTTAAAAAATCTCCCAACGCTACGTGGAACAATGATCGATTAATAATCGAGGTCCTATCGCCTGAACTCGACGCGGATAAAATTCGAGAACACTTTTGCAAGGTTTCCACGAGCACACGGCGATCATTTTCGTGTGGATGGAGATACGCCAACTCGATTGGCGCCATTTGGTCATCGTTACGCAAACAAAATGGAGGGGTGTACTTTTTAACTAAAATTTAAAAACAACTATTGCTAAAAGTTTTCTTATATACGATAACATCCATGAGAATGGATACTGAACTAAAGAAGATGAAGCAGTGGAATGTAAACTACGAAGTATTTGAAATAAATAAACTGGCGGTATGTTGAATTCTGTGTGAGTAATATTAACGCCGCTGGACTGGCGTACTCCTGGTGCACGATATTTGCTTATGGAAACCCTGCGTTACACATCGTAGCGACAATACTAGCGTCACGGAGAGTTAAACTTGCCTTAACACATTCGAGATCGATGACTCAGCCTGTGAATCATGCCAGATCTAATTTGTTTAGCTGGTAACACAGCATAGTCAACGATAATTGAAGATGGTATTGTAATTTGTCGGTCTCGAATGTGCAACGGCCTCGCAACTATTTATTAAAAGTCACTTGGCAATCGTCGATGTGTACACAATCGTTGACAATTAATCGAAATTCATATGTATTGCTTTCGAACATGGTATTGAAATTACATTTGTTGGAATACAATCATGAGAGAACGAAAAATTTGGGGGAATGCTCGCAGTTCTTTGTGCATCGAGTATTATGCATCGTTAAACAATTCGCCTTTTACGAGCCACGTATTCACAAATTTCGTTTCAAGCTACAGCGTATCCGGTTGCACTTGTACTCGTATATCAAAGTTGAGCATTTATTGATTACCGAAACTGATCGCTCCCAACAAAAGGCGATTAAATTAATCGTCGATCGTTACTGTAATTAAATTTTGTTCAACAGTGTCACGTATTGCTTATTAGGAAATTCGTATCGGCAGTGAATAAAATAACGACTGTAAACAATGCACGCTCTCCAACGGCGGAAGCAACGTTGCAGTGTGTATGTAACAACTATTGTGAAATGTGAATGATATAGGTAATTTCTTGCATCTCCGTTAGTCTGAACAAGTACGTCTTAATTTTCAGAGCATTCGACCGGAGTGTATTACTCGATCAGAGCGTAATGGTAAACTTTTACATCATTGAACACCTTGTAAGGACTCTATTACTTTTATTATACAAACAAAAATATTGTATAACACTTTAAATTATATCTTCATTTATCACAGTAGAAAGACATGCTTGTTCAGTCTCTCGAAGAATTTAATTTTATTGCAAAATGTAATAGCATCGAACATATTTAAAATACTGCTGTTTCTTTTATGAAGATTTACATCTGTCCGTTCTATTTATTGCAATCGTTCCAGTCAACCGAAAGGTATCCGTTCACTCGTGATTCCTGGTGCAAATAAAGGGCAAAGCAAACGTAGAAAAATGAAGGTGAAAAATCCGTGGAATGGCATTAACTTCGTCCTTAATTGGAAGATTGACTCCGGTTGTCATTCTATTGTATCTTACTTTGCAGCAAATGTTACCCTTTTATCGTGGTGACAATTTCATGGGCAAAGGTGTCCAGGTATGAGTGTTGCAATGTTTTCGTGTAACTATCTATATAGTATACATATACACTATATTCATATTTATACAATTATATTCATATACATATATACCTTTGTATGTATATATATATATATATATATATACTTCTCCTGTTTTGTTCACATTCATTAATTTTTGCAAAATATTTCTTCTGCCAACTCATCGTCGCTAAGCCTGTATAATACAATCGCAAATTACATCTCGTGTTCGCTTAGGCAAAAAATGTTTACTCGTTAACTTTCTGTAAGTACAGTGACCATCTTGCATATCGTGTTTCCATCGTACTCGGGCTTGAAAATCGCAGTTCACCCCGAGAAGCTCCGAATTGCAAAACGTGTTTTATCGCGTTCGATCTCTGTCTCGTGGTTTTCTCGATAAAGCTTCTCGAATTAACCGTTTGCGTACAATTCCTACGAAGTTAAATAGAAATTCGTTCGGCGTAAACGTCTCGACGCATACCGAAACGTGGTGTAAAAGTTCGTCTCGTTGAATTTTACACTGAACAATTATCAACGTGAATAATAAAAGGTTGCCGCCCGCTTAACGAAGCAAACGAAAAGCAACTTGGGATAGCCAACGTTTGAATTTGCCACGCTTACCGCGCGGCAGCACCAGTTTTACACGAATAAAATGGTGGAAGGTTGAAGAAAACGGCACTGGATGGAACTGAAATTTAACGAGGGAAGTTTTTGATATACCATTTTTAACACAAGTTAAAATTTATACATTTAAGGGAATAAAAAGAATCTTGCAACAGTTATATTGTTCTAAGTACGTGTTTTAAAATAGATAAATTAGTTACTGGAAAAAAAGCTCGGCTTGAAGTTGTGCCTGCAAGGAATACAGTTCTACAACAAAATTTACTTTCAAAACATTAAAAGGAGGAGAAAATTGCTGTTTGTTTGTCGAATAAGCGGTGAAACGGCATCAGAGTTGGAGATTCAAGTAAGTTAAAATGCGAAAAGCGCCCACGCGTCGATCACGGGCGATAAACGAGCGTCGGGAGGGTTTTGAGGGGGAGGCGCGCGCGCACAAAGACATTTGCTCGCGTTCATGGAGTTTCTATCAAGTTTGCGTTCGGTCGACCGCTAGAACGAGGTCGACGTGCACGGAAAACGGACCCCTTGGTAATTCCTCGACGACTCCCAGGCGTAATTGTTCCATGGACACACTACCTCTTTAGTAGTAGAAGTGGGCAAAACTGTTGCAGGTGTTGCGAGAACGAACCGATCCTCAGCTATGCGTTTGCGGATGCTGCTGCTGCGATGGCGGCGCGCCTGTAATCTCGGTCCAACGCATTTCGAAGAAACTGCGCATCCCGTGTCCGGCCTTCCCCACGGGACTGTCGTCCTCGTTGAATACCTCGCAGTTGATGAACATCTGTCTGACATCGGCGCAAAACTCATCGCGAGACTTGTACCTGTATCGAGAAGCACTCGTTGGAACATGTTTTGCGGATTTGTCCAATTTTGTTTCTTATTTATTTTATTTTGTGTCGATCGAAGCTGACGAGATCAAGTTAGAGTGAGCTTGTGCTAGACCTTAGACTGTTTTTTTTAGGCGTTTTACATTTTTTTTTATTTTATTTTAAATTGAACTGTGTTTTTTTTTTAAGTAAGAACTTTAGTTAACTAGGTAGTCGTTGGTACGCGTGCAACTTACACGGAGTCCTGCAATTTCTTCTTGATCGTACTGAGATCCATGGGCGTTTTAATGATTTTCTTGTAGGTCGGGAACTGTTTGGTGTTCACCGGCAAGAGGAACGGCCAGGCCTCGTCCTGTTGCTCCAACTGTTCGAGTAGCATCTTACAAGGAGCCAACTCTCGTTGCTGTTTCTTCGTCAGCGTCCTATTGTTCCCCTCCTTCCGTGGCGAGGCGGTAGGGGTTGCCGGTTCCGACGAACTGACGTCCTCTACGTGCGTGTTCGATGCCGTTGACGGCGTTGGACTGCGACGCAAAACAACAGAGAAATTATTTGCACGATTAGCTTCCTCTTTGCAGGAGGTGTATCCCGTCCCAAAAGCTTCTGGACGAATGCATAAGACTCGAGCGTGTGTGTTTTCCGCCTGAGACGGTTACGTTGTTCTCGATGGAATATATTTCGTCTTTCTGACTCTCTGTCTTTCGTTCTAGGTATTTCTATATCTGTCTCGCTTTTTCCTCTCGCCCTTTTCGCCCATTTTTCGTACATATATATATATTTTTTTTATCATTATTATTATTATTATTATTAGTATTATTATTATTATTATTTTTTTTTGTTATTTTACATTTCTCGAGTAATCATAGAACTTGAAGGCAGCTCTATAGACCGTTACGACGAATTCTCTAAGAAAATACCCCAATCCCGTGGTCGTTGATCGTTAAGTGACACGCTGCACGAGGTACAGGGTGTCCCGACGTTGGGACCTAACAAGATACTTTTTATTCACGGGGCATAGAACATCGCACGAACGAGGAAAAATCTTAATTTTAAAACCTACTTATCGACGACTTTTTGCTTTTATGTGGAAGCGTGATTATAGCTAATCTATCGTGGAACACCCTGCATAAAGTATAAATACTTCCTTACAACGATAACTTTCGACGAGTGTATGACACGGGCTGAGGATATATAAGTTCGGTATAATCGCATGAGAGCAGTGTATATTCGTTCGTTTTAAAGCGTTTTTTGTATATGTTCTTATTCGATTGGAAATTATTTTGTTCATCGTTTTGCGTTCGCTGAACGTTATTGAATCATGGTTTTTTTTAGCTTGGCAGCTATTTTCTTTTCTACTTGTACATTCGTATGAAACGTCGTTAAGCCAGCGAGTCGACAATGTTTGTTTGGTTTTAACGTAATCACCTAGCTGGTGGATGGTCAGAACTTTCACTTTCTCTGGTGCCTCCCCCTTTGGTATGACTCCTTCGACTACTATTTCTCTTCTTTGGTTGTTTACTGTGGCAATTAGAACAATACCATTTTCCCCTTGGCATCTGAAAGCATGACACAGGTTAGTAAAGAAAAGAATCGAATATATCGAGGGATATATTCGATAAAGGGATGGGCGATGCACGAATAGTTGAAAAGAAATCTCACTCACTTTTGGCATAACAGGATTGTGGCAGTCGGTATGATAAGCACGTGGGCATAGTTCACATAACACTAAGTTTTTACCAACTCTCTTTCCACATACCAAACAATTTCGTTCACCTGTTGCTTTGTTCATGCATTCGTGACAATACCTGAGAAACGAATTGTCATTTTTAAATTAAACATGGCAACGGCGATGATAAATGTTTCGTGGACGTTTAAAATACTTACCAGTCACCATCAGGAATGTTTTCCATTTTTGGACGGAAACAATAAGTATGGTAGCCGCGGTCACAGCCATCACACAGTAGCAATTTGTCTTCGTTATCTCCGCTGTGACAGAACTGACAATTCTGTAACAAATAATGAAAGCAAACTCTCCATTTAAAGTTGAAAAATCTACCCAGTCACATTGAGAAGCAATGAAGTTCGAGTAATATTCGGCGCTATTAATGAAGCATTCGAAATGAAAAACCACATTAAATGCGATAAAGGTTAATATACTGAAAGAAAGATACGTTATTCGATCGATTAAAAAAGAATAAAGTAGGATAAGCTGGTGTTTGGATATATTTGCTTAAAGGAACTAACGTAAAGCATTTAGAATTTAATTTCACCGTATCGTGCACATGTTGATCCCATGATTTTTAAATTAAAAAGCTTAGTATTATCATACCGGGCTGGAGAAATTAAAATTTGTTTAAATTAGCGTTAAAGTAAGTGGATATTTCGCTCGAAATATGCACGTAATGTAAATCAGCAATTATGATAAATAAAGGTACAAGCAGAAATGCTACAAAAGGAAAAATACGAAGCATGAAAGGTAAAAATTAGTAGACGATAAGCGGCATATTTTTATTGCATGCTACCGTTACGTTAGACTCTAACCACCATTAGATCTTCGAATGAATCACTCGATTATAGCAGCTTTTTAAAAAATTTCATTTGATCTTATCATCGACACTCGTGTGTTTTCAAGCACACCCACTATTAATTTAATCGAACAATTTGTAAAATTCGAGAGTACAACTGCCGCATTATATGCATTCGCAAAGATGTCATTAGATTTATAACAACATTTTTTTGTGATCAATGTATATATATCGTGGAAAATAACACGCGAAGAGCATTTCGTTTGAAAATCCTTTAAACAATTATCAGCGAAAGCGATATGCTCTCTGTGGTCCACCGTTGCGGGAGGGGCGAGAGTTAGGCAAGAAAATAAAGGACAGTTTTGGTTAGTAAGTTAGTGCGAATACCCACAGAGGCCTGAGAAGTAGTCAATAGCTGATTGTACTGATTGGTAGCTTTGAGTGAGACGCAGCGGTTTCGTAGCTTGACGCAGACCGAGTTTCTAGCTGGTGTTAGACTCACAGCCTTCATGATGCTCTTGTCCCAGGCGATGCTTGCCTCCAACATGTAAAGTGCCATAGCGAGCTGAGCGGATGTATGCGCTCGAGCTGTCGCTTCACGCCAGTTGTTCAGTCCTCTCGGTGTTGTCTCTTCTTGAGGCACCGGGGTCTGGTTACTCGGATCTGAGTTATTCGAGTTGGCATTTGCAGCTGCTGCTTGTTCCGCCTTCAAGGCTGCCAAATTCGGATCTCCCGTGCTGAAAGACAAAACAAATCAACTTAGGATACCTGATGTATCAAGTTTCATCTAAACAGGTCCTTGGAAATGGTACAAATTTTAATTGAAACATTTTTTAATATCTTTTGTAACTGAAGAGGTACATAAGGGAAAAAATGGATCCATTAGCTCGATTAACTCGACTTAAATAGAAATACAAGTTGTCTTACCAAACGCCTAACGGCGGCTTCAAGTATCTCCTTTCGATGGCGGCTTCCAGAGACAGTAGCCTTTGTCGCGCCTGTTCGACAGCGCTAATCTTCTCCATCTCGTTCAGCTTCTCGATTTCCTCGGCCTCCTCGGTTCCCGCCCGCGGAGGAAGCTTCCAGCCTTTGACCTGCATGCTGGCGTTGGCGACTTTGTCTTCGAGGGCCTCGACTTGTTCTAGAAGTTGCGCGTCCACGCGTAGCGCGACCTGTTCGCTCCAAGTCTCCGGGTTGTCTGGTTTGGGAATGGGTGTGTCGGGTTCGTCAGGAGCGGATTGGAGTTCGGTAGCGGTGAGATTGCCCGGGTCCACGTTGATTCGGCCGGTGACTGCCAGGAACGACTCCATTGTCGCCCACGTGGTGCGTTTCAACTCTTTCTCGCGGACTCCACGGGAATGAAGATGCTCGAGCAGTTCTTGAAACGTGTCCACGTCTGTTATTCTCCACCAACCGTACCGTAGATCTGAAAATGGACGGTAGACAAATTTTAGCGAGGACTGAACTCTTGTCTGTTTCATAATTTTGTGAGTTTTGTGATCCTAATGAGACATTACTGACCTTTTGGTACTGGTTTAGCTTCACCAGGGGGTGGCAGGCCGTGGACCTTCAGGTACTCCAGCTGCACTGCTTCGTCCTGAGTCAAAATCAACGGCGCTGGACTGTCACACCTGTCGTAATTCGGGCTGGCTGGAGGAGGGAAAACCGGTATTCTCAACTCGGTTGGTTCAGCTATTCCGAAAATCTGTTTGGTGCTGGGTCCCGGAGTGTCGCAAGTCTCGCGTGGTAGAATTGAAAACCAACTGAACTCGTTGCTGTTATCTGCAATTACTAACGTCGTTACCGGAAATGCTCCTGTACCTTGAAATATTTTAAACGCTATCAAGGATATAATAAATTCAAACTTACTTGAAATGAACGTGCCGTTTAATTCTTTGCCGTTGTGAATGTTGTTGACGTGATTGAATTTGTCACCGTTCGGAATCGTCTCGACGATCTTGTCCTCCATCGTTCTAGCTGGTTTCATGTCCTCGTCGGTGTCTTCGTGCTCTTTCTTCGTCTCCTCTTTCATGTCCACGTCCATGGTCACCACCTCTGTCTCCTGCTTGATTTCCTCGGACGTGACGTTGGTCTTCGCGTCAGTCATACCGTCGACGTCGTGCTTTTTCTCCTCTTTTATCTTCGTCGAGTTCTCCGTTCCGCAGTTCTGCACGTGTTCCTTCTTGCAATTAACATCCTCGACCTCAGACTTTGCTTTATCAACCAGTGGCTTCACGTCTTCTTCTTTCTCGCTAGAGTTGAACTTCTTCTCCTCTTTCACGTCGTTGGGGGCTTCGTTCTCCCGGTTCTCGGTGTTCGTTTTGGTGTCTTCTTGCTTCGTCTCGAGCTTCTCCTCCACTGGCCTGTCTTTGTACTTTTCGTCCAGCTCGGCCTGCAGCTCCAGGACCTCCGGCTCGGCGCTCTCCATGGCCTCCACGAAGATACCACCCGCGCATGCCAGCTCCCAGTATCGTCTCCAGTACCTATCCTGACCGAATATGTGCGCTCGCAGCTGTTTCGAGGAGCTGTTCAGCTTTTGCAGCTGCTCCTCCGATTGCTTCAACAGTTTGTCCAGCTTCTTGCCCAGTTCCTCGCCTGATAAATTCTTATCTTCCTCCTGAATCACGAATGTTACAACCTTGATTTATTTTTATTGATCGTGCGTTATTTGTTTAGATTTGACAAGGCAAGCCACTGTATGGGACTGTATATACTAAGTATATACAGTCTGTATATGGGACCGTACATATTAAGTTGTAGATTTGATGACATAAAATAAAACCACTTTACCTCCTCAGGTTGAGTCCCTTCGCTCTCGTTCTCGGACATGTCCTCGACCTCGTCCTCGTGGTGGATCTCATCGGGCGTGGGTGTCGTTCCCACAGCCGTCGACGTCGTGTTGCTCTCGTCGTCGACTTCCTTCTTCTCTATAGTGATGGTATCGCCAGTTTTGTTCACGATCACGCCAACAGCTTCCATTCGAACCTTTCTACTATGCAACTGCCTGAGTCTGTAACCGCACAAAAACGCCAGTCAACATCAATCCTACTCGAGAACAAATGAACTACAAACGAACCTGATACGAAGAGTTACTCACTTCCTGATCTTAGTGTCCAGTACGAATCTCTCCTTTCTGAGCTGAGCCACCGTCTCCAAACTCCCCTCGATTTGCCTGATCACAGCCTTGTTCTGCAACAGCTCGTTGCAGAGGAACGCGAGCATCTGCGCCTTGTGCGTCGGATTCAGGGCCAAGAAAGGCTTGTCCCTCAGCCTCTCAGACATCTTCCACGTCTCGTTGTTGTGCAGGTGTTCGTAGAACTGGGCGTTCTTCCCCGAACAAGTGGAGGCATAGTCGCCTCCGTTCTGATGATGATCGGCGAACTTCTTGTCGCGTTCTCGTTCGAGGCAGACGCCTGTCAGAGCTTTCACCTCGCCTGTGGCGTTCGCGTACAGATAGATCCGCAGCACCTCGCTGATGTTCGCGTGAGTTATGTCTGCCTGTCTTAGACTCTGTCCGAGTCCTGTGGTGTGTCTCGCCGGCTGTGGGATCCCTGGATCCTCGATGGCGCACACTAGGAGGTGCGTCATCACGGACAGCATCTCCTCCTCGGCTTCTTCGTCGTTGAGCAGCGCTAGCTGGAGACTCTTCAGGCTTGGCAGCGAGTCCATGTCTGCGACATTAAAGAGAAAATAATATTGTATATATGGGAAGGTGATGAGGTGCTTTATGGTATTCGTTATTGACTTAGTGGCTGAGCTCTTCGGCGATACCGTCTCGATTAAAGGATATCGAGCTTTTTCATTCAATTACGAGAAGGTGCAACGAGAAACTCACCAAAACCCAAAGTCTCCCCGAAGTTATGCAGGAACTCGAATACCATGACGATGTCCGAGAACGCTTGGCCGGGCAGCTTGAGTCCGGATATTCGTTTCAACTCTGGCAGTGGTCTGTGATCTGGAAAGAGGAAGCAGTCCGCGTAGAAAAGATCCCACAGCTTCGAGGATATCTCGATACGTACCTGTCAGTTCCATGTCCTCTACGGGTTTCCTGATCTGCTCGATCAGCTCCATCTCCATCTTCCTCTGTTCGGCGCGTTTCTCCTTCGTCGCTATTCTCTCAGCCCTGGCCTCGAGCCGTTTCTTCTCGCGTTCCTCCATCTTTCTACGATTTTCAAGCGCGCGTACCAACGCCATATGCTGTCTCCTTCTCTCCCTCTCCTAGGATGCCCAACGAGACGATTCAACGATTGAAAGGCAGAAGCGAATCGGGAAATGTTTCATGCAGGATCAACAGAGTAGGTGTTCTCGTGAATTTCGTTTTCTTCTTTTTTTTCTTTCTTTTTTTTTTTTTTAAGCAACAACTTTTGACACGCACGGACTACGACAAACTCTACAACCGTCCCAAATACTCTTCAAGAGAAGCTACGCATGACAGTGTATACACGGATGCATCTTAAACATCGCCGCTTAGATCGTTTTCTTTTATTCAAAATACCGTGCAACTCGTTACCCAACCACACTCCGTTCGATATTTCGGCTACGTCAATGGATTTCTTCGGTTCCCCGAACTCGCTGCTTTCGTGACAATGGTCTCCTAACTTTTTGATTCGAACACTGTCTTCAAACTTTTAAACAATTCGTGGATGCTTTAGCTATTTAGATTTATCTTCTTTAAAACGTAAATGCTCGAAGATTAAGAGACGTTGGATAATAATAATGGGAGATCAGCCTTTGAACGAGGTCGAAGTGAACGAAGCTAAGGAAAGCGCCTACGAAATGAATGACTGATCACGAACTATGTTACGTTGTCATCGCGGGACTGGTTAGCGAACGTGGATCTCTTGGAAAGCGAATGTTAATGCAGCTGATACTGTTTTATACTTCCAAGCGACAATGATGCCCTTTTGAAAGCAAACTTTGATGTTCTGTCAGCGGTGCAGTCCTCGAGTAACTATTTAACTGAAATTTTTAGTAACCGCTGGAACCTAACACCTGCAATGCTGATGAAGCTTCCGTACTCCCAAGATGACCGTGTACGAACAAGTCCCCAAAACAGTATCAGCCACAGAAATACTTAAGCCTCGAATAGCGAGTGTTAATACTGCCCGTGAAAATCTTGTTAAATTCGTTAGTCAATCGTTCGTGGAAGATTTTGAAACAATCTTCGACAAGAAACGAACGTGTGTGCAGATTAGTCTCAATCTCACACCAAACGTGACAACTTCAAACTGGCCGTCCAAGCCAGCTAATCATTATCGATCTATAAGTTATTGCTTTGCAGTCGTCGATCAATTAAATCTTGCAATTTTTCGTGAAGTCCATATGAATGATTATAACTGATTCTTCATGAATGACAAAAAAACTCGCAACTTGGAAGATTCAATTGATCGATGGTGGGCTGACTTGATCGACAACAACGACCAGGAGTCAACGGCCAGTTTAACGTTCGTGAAACTCGATTCGTTCCGTTTAGTGAGGTCGACTTATTAAACTAGATTGGGCATGAGACATACCAGCTCGACGGTGTAGAGCATCTCGCGCTGCTTGGTGAGCTCCTGCATGTACATCTGCGGCACAAAACACATCCACAGTCCACCAGTGCTCAAACTACCTCTACTCTCTTGGCTAACAGTACTTTTCTCGCTCTCTTTTTGCGCGGCCTGGCTACACTATGCAACGGATCGCGGCAATTACGCACGCCACGTTCGCAAATTCAAAAGTTACGAGAGAAACTGCCCGGTAACACGTAATCTACGTTCGTAGCCAAAGACAAGCTACAGCGTACCACGACTAAACGAGAAGCAAACGTGTGACAAAACTTCGGCAGAGCATGTCCATTAAAACAACTTGAAAAAGAAAAAATAAATAATACAGATGAGCGATACGATTCAACAAAAGTTCAGAAAAGAGAGTCGGATGAATCGAAAATGGGGCAACTAAAACGCGATATCATGATCTCCTCACCGTCGTACAGCTTCGTATTGAAAACAGAAAATAAGAAATTGGAAGAAAGAACGCGATTCGTGAACTTTTTTTTTAACGAAAGAGGTTCCTCGAGTTTAATATAGCGTCAAGATTAATCTAAGTTTCTTTGATACAAAAGAAGTGAAATTGTTGCAAGAGAGAAATGCGAATAATTGGTTGATATTCATGACACCGCGTAGATTAGTACGAGAAACAATGAACGAAAGCGATGGAGATAATGAAACTGAAGCTAATTTCTACGGTAACACACACACGCACACCGTCTAGTCTACAGCAATGACACGATCTGAATGACCTCGTGATCTATGGCTAGGCTCACCTGTTCTTTCAACATGACCGCTTGTTGCCGCTTCAGCTCGCGTTCCTGGGAAATCAGAATTAATTTTAATTAAATCACCGTCGTTGCAAATAATGTAGGGGGGATATGTGACGAAATAGATCGAATGGGCGGTACAGAAAGTACAAGGGTTTCACAAACGAAGAGAATTAACGCAACTTATATGACAGAATTAAATTCAACTGCCAAATTGTACTTGCAAATCATTTTCAGGTTGCTGCGTGGCTACCGTGTTTTTTTTTTTTATTACGATAAAGTTACATACGTCGTCTGCTTTATCAAACAAAAACAAAGAAGGTAAAACATGAGACGCAAATTTTAGGAAAAATACTGGAAAAATTTTTATTGATATACTCCTACTTTGTTCAATTTATTTTTTCAAACTTAAATGGTTATTTGTTGCAGTAAAAATCGTGCAACATTTTATCGAACAACACTTGTCGGAATTCCTCGTCGACTTTGATTTAAGCGTCGTTAGGGTAGGGGGCGGAGAATGTAAAACGGAGCCAGACAACGATCGAGCACAGAGAAACCAGAGTTCGTGTAACAACCATTTTAGGATTACCTGTTGCTTTCGTTGTTGCTCCTCCAGTCGTATCTTCTCCACCTCTTCCTGCCGTTTTTTCCGAGCCTGCGCACAATGCCATATACACACGTCACTCGCATCCGTAAATTTTGTTATCGTAAGCAAATTTACACAATCATTTTCATTTTTTTTTCCACCAAACCATCCAACACTGGGGAGGCTCGTCGCTTTGCGAACTCGATATCGTTTTCTACCGCCTCAAAGCTCATTGTCGCGTGTCCCGTGAAGATGAAAGTACGCATCAAGCTCTGACGAAAAATATCGATTCACTCCTCGAACATTCTTTTACGAAAAGTGTATTTTCAAAGAGAACAGGAAGTTTTAAGAAGCTTTCCTTGTAATATTTCCAACAACTGTCAAAAGATTTGATGGCATCTATCATGAATTTTCAGTTACCTTTTGTCGATAGTAAATATTTATATTTATTGATAGAAAATTATTAAAAAGTCATAATATAAACAAATTTGATTTGTCAGTTTTTGATACAAAAAATCTGTCTAATACTTCAGTAACTGTGCCCTTTCAATTCAACCGGTGAGTTCGATGCGTGGGTATATCCTCCAGTTTCCTAATCTTGTTAAAATACACTTTTTATAGAAGAAACTTGGGGAAATAAAGTGACGAATACTTTTTCATTATACAGAGCGACGCGTGCCTCTATTTTCACATTACAAACTATTAATTATTGCAGAAAACCATCAGGGCTTACCGATCAGAGAAAATAGAATTAAAAATATATATATATATAAAAGATTATGTGACATCGTTTCTATAACATTTAATACGCTTTGTTCCCTGATCTCTTCTCGATACCGTGTGGAATATATGTGTGAATTTTTGTGAAATTTTCTTCTCAACGATCTACACATCGACACTGTAATCTCCGAATAGGTGCGACGTATCGATTCGTTTCACCATATAGTCTCTCTTAACGCGGAAATCCCGATTTCTTCGTGTTGTGATTCGAAAGCTACGTGTACAAGCAGACGCGTCTATGTAGCAGAGTCGATGACAGGGACAAGCACTACTCTAGGATATCTAAGCCTAATTAATCGCGTACCAATGGAAATTTTTCTTTTTTATCTTTTGCTGTACTCGATTTCGGACCGTTTAAATCGAAATCTTTGATGGATGAATTTTATTCGGGTCATAGATAATTTAATAGACACAGCTTCTGTTGGAACTGGAATATTTCTTTGCCAATAAAATCGCTGATCTGTGTTCACCAAGAGAACAAAAAAAAAAAAGAAACATACAAAACCGTTGGAATACTTCTTTGTTGTCGAATCGATAAGATACGTCCGTGAGAAAGATCGACTAGAAAACTGTAACTGAGACTCTTTTTGCTCGCGAATCTCGATCATCGGAGGGACCTGTTAAGGGGGCAACGGTTCGATCGAATAAATAATCGATCGAACGACGCAACAAAGAGAAGAGAACATAACAAAAAAAATACTTGATTCGTACGAGACTAGTGTCTCGACGACAAGCCCCAAAAAACCATGTACAACCCCGTCGAAGTGAAATAGGTAAAATCATGCTGTCATATATAAGAGAAAACCACGTGATAACAAACGTGATAATATATACAGTCTCGAGAGAAAAAAAAACAGCAACCAAGCAATGGGTTTGTGTTCGTGAAAAACCGCGATATACTCAACGAGAACCAGAAACTAACCCATAATAAAAAGGTCAACGAACGAAAAATCATAAGCTTCTCACCAACTACCAGAGAGAGAAAGAGAAAGATAGATATTTATATGTATATAAAATATATGTATATAATATATATAAAGAGAGAAATATATATATGTATACATAAATACGTATAAAACCACCACCATTTTATTATACAGGAAAAGATGTAAGATAGTTAATCGAAGTATATATTACGTATATAATATAAGAAAAGAAGCGATATCAGAAGAGAATGGAAAAGAAGCGAGAGAGAGAGAGAGAGAGAGAGAGAGAGAGAAAACAGGTAGTAAAGGAAAAATGTGAAATATAATCAAGAGAGCGCATGCAGGAGCCAAGCAAATATACTCGCCTTATGTGTGCACATATTATTTTGTGTCAGTAATATTATATAATATTAATCGCTGAAGCTGATAAATAGTCTTGTTATAAAACTGTACTTGTGTGCCAGCCTGTACAAAATGTAGGTTTCTTAATAGCAGTGGTGAAATATGTGATCGTGGTAGTATTAGCTATACAGTAATAATAATAATAATAAATCGTAACAATAATGAAGAGCCATAATCGTGACAGAGCGTAAGATCAATCGAGTTAATCGACATTACGTGTATCGCGTGACAGCGTTTACTCGAGTTTCAACAGAGTAGAGAACGAGAGAGAAGATGAATTAAAAAAAAAAGTAGCGTCGAAAAGGGGAGAAAAAATAGTAAGCGCTTCGTATGCTCGATCAGCTGGTACTCGATAATCGATAGAACACGTAAAAATTCGAAAAAAATACGGCATGCTGGATAATCATGTAGCTAGCTGTTATTCTTGTATAGTGACAGGAGAAGCACAGGATAGCGTTACGACAGTTTCGGTATTTTATTGTATTTGTTGTCGTAGATCCGCAAATATCGTATAAAAGTATTTATCGTGCCTACGTATATGTGTGTATGTGTGTCAGCCTCGAGTTCGCAACAATGTTCACGATGCCCGAATCTCGTGAAACTTTCTTCGATTCTCTCCTTCTAACGTTCGAAAGAGGCTTCTTGCCAGAATCGAGAAAGTTCAGAGATCGCATCTTCGATCCCTACCGGGGTCAGAGTTGAGCAAACCTTATTTCGAGTGACGAATAAAGATTCGAATATGATTTGACTCGTTTCTGGTAAGATCTCGCAAGTTAAGCGTTTCGCATCGTTCACGAAATCGCTTGCTGATTTATCCTTCCGTGTTTCGTTCGTAGATTTATTCGAATAAAATTTCATTCGTACGATTACTCGAATAACGACCACCTCCGACCGGAATCCCCTCTGTCGTGGGCGATCCAAATCGAGCTTCATTTTCGAAACGCAAACACCGAGTAATCCCCCAGCTTCGTTTATTTAATCGTTTAATACGTTCGACTGACAGTCACAATTCGTCGATGTGTTCTCAATAAAAACGTGATATTTCACGCGAGCGCGGTTAAATATTTAAAAACGATAACCGTGTTATCTTTTCCTCCTACTCCTCCTCCTTTTTTTTTTTTTTTTAAATTGCAATTTCAACGCGACGTTAGAATCAATATTTCGACACGTCGAACGTATATTGAATTTGAGCGCTACAGATGTTTCTATTGCTTTTAATTAGAAATTAAACTCGATGAAATTAACGTACTCGGGAGTAAGAGTGTTCAAAAACATTTGGAAAGTCAATATCAAAGGACTTCCTTGTACATTACAAATATCATGCTCAAGAAATACAGAAAACTTGGACCAAAATTATCGAAAGTATCGCGGCCACGAGCCAAACAATTTCATCCCCAAAAGTTACGAGATATCGATACGTTTGAAATGCATGGACCACACGGTATATTCAATCAGCAATGCCAGTTTCGTATTAGGCGGCTTATTGGGTTTCAAAACAGAAACAGTCTCGATTTGGCGCGCTCCTGGGACGTCGATACGATGTCTGGAGGTGAACAAGAGTTTGCTCGAATAAAATCAACGAGGAACAATGAATTCGTCACGTTTATTCTACCAGGTAGTTAAATTTCCCTGCGTTCATAACTCAAACTCCGTTCTTCGTTCAGCAATGGAACAAAAGCGAATCTTTTTATTCGAAATAAGAGCGTTGCTTGTCTCTGATCGCCCACAGTGTCCTACGAAAGCACCGTGTGTGCGTCTAAATATGCGTGGCACGTGTGTGTGTGAAACGTGTGTGATGTGTGTCCTCTTTCGTTCGATCGCTAGGTGATGCACTGACATTAACGTGGCAGACTACTGGTGCTCCGGTGTCGCGTTTTCCGTTCGTACGTTCACGAGCGATCGCATTCTTGCCTCGTTGCACCGCTGGAAAGTTTCGACAGAAGGGCGGAACAAGTTTTCCAGGGTAAAAGTTTTCGCGAAACGCCGAAACTCCCGATGGACGCGCGAGCACGACAGCGTTTATTCTCGAGCGTAAAATTCTATGGACCCCAAAACGAAAGCAAAGAAAGACGACAGTGTCTCGTGTAAAAATCGATCCCCCGATCGATCGACGATCGTTTCGCTGAAAGATCGTCTCCCTCGTGGGGAGACAAGCGTGATCGAACCAAAAATTTTGTCTCGCAGGCGGAATTGCACGCGTCCTCTGTGGAAACGTAACGCAAGAAACCAGGAATACATCTTACGCGAGGAATGCAGACACTACGAGGAAGAAACGAAAGATAAGCGAAGAGAAATAGGTGACTCGATGGGGTACACGTGACTCGTGAATTTCGTAGCTCGCGATAGTTATCGAAAATAAATCGCATGGTCACGGATCCGTCGAGAGTGAAGGGGATGAAACGCGTGTACGGTGAGAGAAATGAAGTTAAAGTGGTTACGGTGATCGGTATTCAGAGGTGACTTGATGTGAAATGACGATGTACTCGATAATCGACAACAAAAAGATGTTATATGGTCACATATACATGAAACTGACATGAAATACGACTATTTAAAAAAAAAAGTAACAAAAAAAAGAACAAAAAAAAAACGAGTAATATCTTACCTCTGGTCGTCACAGTGAAACTTAATCTATCGATGAGGGAGTGAGATGAGCGAGGGAGATATGTATGGGCCGTGGGAGGGACTGAGGGGTGTTTTGATCGCAAAAGGGAGGACAACATAGAAAACCAGGCAATCGTAGTCTTACCTCGAGAGGTCCTTCGTGTCAGTCCTCGTGAAATCAGAAGAAAAAATGGCGGGGAGAGGAACAGCATGAACCAACGAATCACAAGGACGACAGTAACATTCATTAGTGAACATGAAGTCGATGAGACGGGTTTAATGACGATGTAAGAGGAGAGGGTGTTGCAGTTCGCGATTTACGGGGTTGAGGGGGTGAGGGGGATCGACCGTGGAGGCAAAGGTGAGATGGTAAATTCCTCGAAAGCAATTCGTCGAGAGAGCAACCGATGGACAAAGGATTCGCGGAACGAACGGTGGCGTCGCGACGTCTCCGGTCGTCTTCGAGGGAGGACATTCTTCCGGGGATGCTTTCTCGGAAAGTACTTTTCCCTCGATGCCGTAGTTTCGTGCTTTGTCGAATGATAAAAAGTTCCTTCGATCGGGAACGCTGCTTATACCTGGAGGTACTGTTTCGTTCAATTTGACCACCCTATAGTACCCCCCGTTGTTTTTTTAATTGAATGCTAAACTTAAAGCAATGTCTTTTCCGACGAGCTTTAAGCAGTTTGATGCAATGTAATCAGTCAGTTGTGAGTATACTCGTCATGCGTAAAGTTTAGTTACCAGTGCAACGCTCATAAACTTCCCTTGCATTGCATTCATTATTGCCCAAAGAATACTCCATTTAAATATATAATAAAGTGTCAAACATGAACGAAACACGCTGTATTTCTGGCAACCTGAACGCACCTCGCGCAAAGTACCCTCCGAAGTGCACAGTTCTCCCAAAGAACTTTTCCGAGTGAAGTATGCCGTATTTCGTTGCTACTGTCTTTGGGTTTCAAGGGAAGATCCACGCCTCATATCAGAACCATTAATTTGATTCATACATAAATAACTTTCAAACGAAGCAAGATGTTATCTCACAATCCTCCAGATAACACGAATCAGGCGATTCTGATACAGGAGTGGTTTCCCCTAAAATCATAAAGTAGAGACAAAGAAAGCATAACTCTCGGATGGTATCAACAAAAATCTCCGAAAAGATCTATCGAGTTCACCGTCCGACGACCACGCGTTCCGCGAATTCTCTCCACCAAGAGCATCCGTAAAACCACTCCGGAGGAAGCATGACAACCGGAGGTTCCAAGCTCTCTGGCTCGCGAGCTCAACACGTGGGGGATGGAGAGTTGGGTTTTTCTTAATTTTTTTTTTTTTTTTTTTTGAGGGGGGAGGCGTCATACGACATCTTACCTCCAGAAGCTCCTGACTTTGCGTCTGGGTCTGGGCCTGCTGGGTATTGTCCATGCTGGCGTTGGTGGTGGTGGTGCCTGTGGACGCGGTGCTGGAGATTGGCGTGACAGGCTGCGTGGTTGATTGCGACTGCGTCAACAACGGCAACGGTGCTGTCGAGGCGACGGTCGTGCAGGTGGTCGACAGGGGTGGCGGCGGAGGTGGTGGCGGTGGTACCACCTGCACCGTCGGTGGTGCGACCACAACCGTCGGCAAGGTGGTGGTCGTATTCGTGGTGCAGGCGGTGCTGAGCACCGTGTTGGTCGCCAGCGACGTGACCGACACCAGGTTGGACGAAGTGGACGAGAGGCACGACTTTTTCGCGACCGCATCCTCCGGATGGTCGGTGTGCGACAGCATGTCGCGGTTCCTCCAGCTCTCGGCGATGCTCTCTCGATTCTTCCAGATGGTGGCCACAGTGCTGCTGGCCAGACCCAGCTCGCGCGCCACGTCGCTCTTGCTCTTACCGCGTTCGATCTCTTGGATGATCTTCATTTTCTGCTTGATCGTGAACGCTAGCCGCTTTCGACCCTGCGTTTGTAGGTTTAGGGATGCCCAATAATCGATCGTGTTAATCGACGGTTCGTTACGTGTCGGATCGCGTGCGAGTGATAACCTTCGCTCTTTTCGGTAGCCCGTCCTTTGTTCGGGGACGTTTGCGAATTGTTTAGAGCTCGGGTGACTAGTAGGTTGTGGTGGTGGTGGTTGGGTTCGTAGCGTGGTCACTCTGTGAAGAGGATAGGCTGAGCCTTTTTCAAGCTTCGCAACGAACTGAAAGTTGCAAGAGAACAAACTAAGGGGCTCGGATGCTGCCAGAGGAGGAGAGTTCGTCTCATTTTTTTCTCGGCCGTGTTGTGTGTGCCTCGACATTATAAACGATGATTATCTTGCTCCTCGAATAGTGGGATTGTTTAAAGAGAAAGTGTAAATTGGATCAACGTTGGATGTGACTTATCGTGTCGTTGATTATCAAACAGTGTTTTACTCAGTGTGATTATCATCATTGTTAGTTAGGAAATCAGTGTACAGCCTCGTGAGGAACGCTTCGAAGTAACCAATTGAGAGAAATCCTCGGTCACCCGAAAGAGATATAATACTTGAATCTTATAATCATTATTTAAGTGCCCGAGATTATTTCCTTATCTGTCTCAAACATACGGGGAGCCTAACAGATCCTCGCCACCAAGTCATCGAAAGTAGTGGATGAGCTACACCCTGGGGCAAAGGTTGACGAACTCTCCCGTCAACGAATTCGCCAACGTTCGAACATACAAGGATCTCGATCGACGGTGGTCCCCGTCCACGGAAAGTTCGCGTCGATTAGGATCGATTATCGGTAAAATGGGCATCCCCACGGTCGCGTACCAGGCGTATAACCAAACTACATCTAACATTCGAACGATTTTTCCCTCTCTTATCGACGTTCTTCCCTCTTAACGTCACGTTCGGGGCGGCCTGTGTTACGTGTATGTTTTTCAAGGTGGGGTAGGGCACACGTGTGATGTACAGTGCGTGTGAAAAAGGTGGATGCAAGTGAATGCGAGGGAATGAATGAGCGAACGAGTGACAGTGATTGAAAGGGGGTGGGGGTGGTTTTTTGGAACGGTGTGTCTCTCCGATATCGGAGCCACTTTGGAGAACCATCACAATGGAGATATGGGACTGTTAAAAGTTTCTACGCTCGCGCATCTACTTCCCCGAGATTCCCGGCATACAGACGGAAAAATTCTCGCAGGTTTTTACGAGATCGTGAAATTGATTTCACGAGGATGGCGGAACTTTGTCCTCGCGTTACGACAGCCATAATCGGCGAGAAGTTTTCCCTGCTATGCTAGCGTTCTTTTCGGACGCTTTCGAGACCGTGCACTCCGATTCAGTTTTCTGTTAGATACCAATAATCACCGCGAGCTTCGAATATCGAATGCTCGATCGGAAGTTTCGTATCTGGTTCGATCGGAAGAGAGATGGTTGGAAAAATCGGAGGACAGTCGGTCAAAAGCGACGTTCCTAAAAATACCAAGGAGCACGAAGTGCCCGCTGTGCCGTTCGAAGAGCAAAGGAATGTGTAATCTCGTTCTAATTGATCGAATGCTAGACTTCTCACACGATCATTCGCCTTTACCTAGGAAACTACGTGAGGAGAACATTATGCCACGGCAAAACCGATACTCTGAGACTTGTCTACAGCGTACATACAAAAAAATAAAGCGTCGGGAGCTATGCATCGAGTTCACACGACTATACAGACTTCGAGCAACAAATTTCGACGTTAGTGACCACTAGTTTCCATGGGAACATCGAGACCACAGGTTGACGTCGGTGTTCTAAACATCACCGCGAGAAAATTACCACCCTTCGAGTCTGATCGTTTATATTCATCTAGTCTAAATAATATGTGTATAAAAGATGTAAAATTATATTTCGGAAAATTGATCCAGTAAACGAACGATAGATGAACATCGACGTCGTCGCGGTCTCCATTTTCTCAGCAATCTTTTCCTCGCTCTTTCTCTATAGAAGCCACACGGTTCGTCCGGTCGGTTCGAGAAACCCAAAAAATCGTCGGGTCCTCGCTCGGTCGCGTCGAGTCTCGCCGAGTTGAGGACCCGCAAGCGAGATGCAGCCACATTAGGATCTCCGTTAAACGGCTAAAAGATGTTCGACTCACTAGGAGTTAAACGAAAAGAACGTATCGGGGAAGAAAATCAAAAAGTTAGGCTTGGAGGTGGCAGAGGTGTTCAGGGGGTGTGTCAGTCGGAGAAAGAGACTCGGGAGGACATGCTGGGTTCTCCTGTCACTATTGCTAGCGATTCTTGGTTGACTATGGGGTGTCGGGTGGTCATCGTGTGTCCTGGGACGTTTTCTCTGGTATACGGATCGTAATAGGGGTTCAAGAGGTTCACATATGCGAGTATACAAAGTATCTGGTTACAACAATATCCACTGGAGGAATGTATATAGACATATATATATATATATATATATATATATATATATATATATATATATA